CATAGATTGTCTTTGAAGCTGAAAATAAACACTGATTGATTGATTTACTGAACACTCAGATTGAAAATGGTAGTTTATTTGACGTCACTTGTGCAAACATTTCAGAATCAGCGTTACACAATGCTGCGAGTGCAGCTTTGTGCACTGTCATTCCTAAAGAAACAGGGGATTCATGCTAGCAGGTGTGGGCGCAGGCTATTTTGAGGTCGCTAGCTTTCGAAAGTTAACAGGTTGTTCGCTTCACGGCATTCATCAAGTTAAAAAAGAACGAAAGGATTACGAGAAACAAACACAAGGTACCGGTAGGCGCGGCCCTGAGAAATGACGCGATGCCCCACCACAGTGGTCTTGTGGCTGAGGTACTCGGCTGCTGACCCGCAAGTCGCGGCATCAAATCCCAGCTGTGGCTGCTGCATTTCCGATGGAGGCGGAAATGTTGTAGGCCCGTGTACTCAGATTTGGGTGCACGTTAAAGAACCCCAGGTGGTCGAAATTTCCGGAGCCCTCCACTACGGCGTCTCTCATAATCATATAGTGGTTTTGGGACGTTAAACCCCACAAATCAATCAATCAGAAATCGCGCGATAGCAAGTGGTAGTTCCCACTCACTCCACCTAACACTCCCTCAACCAAACCACTCACTTCTCTAAATGCACGAGGGAAAAGCAAAATTTCGGTGGCATTCCATACAGCCCGATAATCGATGTATGAAAACTTCTGGCCATGTTAGTTCGACGACGCCATTGATTCTCTAAAATTTGAAGTATTCTTGTGTACAAATATATTCCCAGATAAAGGATAATTCAATTCAATCTAGATGGGAATTGTCACATGATCATAATCTCAGACAATCGCGAAAATTCACGAAAAGTTTGTAACGTCAATCATAGGTCTACCTCGAATACATAAGATTAAAGCAAGAAACGGGCTTCATACTATAGTCGACTTTGCCTGTAATGCACCCGTCGTGGGAGCTTTACACATAAGGTGCCACTCTGTTTATTTCGAGAGAGTTGGTTTATTACCCGACAGCAGTGGGTGCACTTCAATGCATCTGGAATGCAAAAAACGCCGATGTACAGGCGGGTTCACAGCTAAAGAGAATACTTTCATGTGCACAATATCCGGATTTCACCCTCTGAAGAAAGTATATAGTGATCTAGATTTACATAATACTACTGCTAGTTGACTGTTCTGACTCCTTTTGATAGAATAGTGCCGTGACCGAACAATGTATTGGCGTGTACTTGCAGTTATTGCACCCGTAATATGACAGATGCTCTCTAGAGTGTTTTCTTTATTAGTGGACGATACTGTACCTAGGTTCGCGTCCACGTCAAAAAAGCATTATGTTATCGAAAATGCCGGAGAATTTACTATGGTGTCCTTTATAATCATTTAAGGATTTGCGGACGTCGAACCCCCCAATCACTAATAATGTTACCTACAATCCCACTGTTGCAGTTTGTATACGTGCTCGTAATACGCGAGCATATACATGATGTTTTGATCGGCCTCTACGGCTTTTTCCTGCTTGTACGCATGGGATTTTCGCAACTAAGTCTACCTTGATTTGTTTTGGATCAACACTTCCTTATGTGCAAAAGAAGTGGTGACAACACAACGGTCGTACTTCAAATTCTCCAGGGCTTTTGGCTACTCTCGTCAAAAACTCTGGCCAACTGACATGGTAAATAGAGTTGTTGCAGTCAAGGCTGCTTGTTTATTCGACGTGGTAGGAAACGTGCTGAACAATTATCTTAGCGTGTGAAATTCATTTTCAGCTACACTTCTTCCAGCCTGTGGTGCATTAAGTCTTCGTTTCCCGCTATCCGTGGCCTGCCCGTCACCCCAAACCTTATCCACGAGCCAACACTGCACCGTATTACACAGTCGATCTGAATATGCGACACAACGTCATTGTACTGTGCTATGTTGTGCGTATCATCGCATTGTGCATTGCGTAGTGCTTCTCCCTCGCCGTGCGATGAGCTGGGTGGGCCTCTTTTCTCTGTCCTGGTTTCAGAAGGAGGTAGTGTTCGACATTCCCATTCGGGGCTGGAGATGAAGACTAGCTCATCAATGGAATGTTCTAGACTTGTTCTTCCTGAAGGAAACCTTGGGAAGACCCAGGCTTCCAAACGAGAGCTCCCAGAAGCTCACATCAAGCTTCCAATAAGAGCATCCGTGAAGTTATCTTCATGTAGAGCATGCTACTATAGATCATGTAATATAACGCTACAATCAGTATATAAACCCTGCAAATAACAATTCCGATTATTAGCCTCGGCTCCTCAGCTCGACTTTTCCCTGAGCTTGACTGGCTCGGATACTGCGGGGAGATTCCCGACAACATCAATATGACTTGCGCTTGAGGAAGCAGGAAGACATCGAATAATGACTTCTGAATTTCTTACGTATACCGTTCCCAATATAGCTTAAGTGGCCAGTTTATCTGACCAAAATCAATTTAATCTAAATTTGCCTCAGTTTTTTTCTGCTTAAAATTCTCAGTTCTCCAGCATCTCACATTTGTAAACAACTTAGTTAAAAGGGTAAAATGACAACCCTAGCGAGACATTTAAAGAAAGATGGTGCAGCCATATGAGTAGAAGATTACCCCTAAAATACTGCTCTTAGATATTATTCCAATTTGGAGCCGCCACGACGGTACGGCGGTAACGGTGCTCGGCTGTTGAATCAGAAGACGTAGACTGGATCCGGCTGCTTTTGCACAACTTCCTCCCTTCCGGCCCTCTCACCTCCCCACTGAGGTAGAAAATCCTGGGAATGCCGGCCTATGATTCCGGTGTGCGCCATTGGTACACTTTTCCAGCCATGCGAATGCCCCACATTGAGACCAATTGCAGTTTTTTGGGAACAAGAAGGTACTGCTTCATTGTTGTGATGAAGAAACAATACGCGGCATTATTTACTGACGTTGAGACACATGCACCATTTGTTGATCTATGTCTGTATTTAGAGGAATTCTTCCAGAAGGGCGAAGGGGCCTAGATGTTTTTACTATTTTTTGGTTCGTTACGTGGTCATCCACAAAAAAAAGTTGCACAACATTCGTGAAAACGGGGAAGCGCGCAAGAACGGTGCCTTGGGGCACGCAAAAAAAAACAGTCAACAGGGACCAAATGATCAAATTAGCGGTAGCTAATTGAAGATGAGCACTCAGAAATAAAGAAGTACTGTTGATGGTACTTAGGAAATCATTTGTAAATTTATGCAGGCCAATAGTGTAGGGTGCTTTATAAAAATGTTACTGAAATGATTTTGTGGTTTCAGTGTAAAAAAACAGGCTACCTTTATTGTTGTCGCAAGCTCATGCTTATGTGTTCCTTCAAGGAGGGAAAAAAATTGCCTCATTCTATGTACTTTGGGAATCAACCAAGCATTCGGAGAAAAGGTGACCATGTTGTTATTATTTAGATGCGAAGCAGCTCTCTGACCAGATCTGTAACGCCGCCCCGTGTCTCTGCACAACGCCCTCACCGCAGGTGTTGGAGCCGTGCTAAGTACTTCGAGTCATAGCTGTGCGTGGACGTCACTCTCTCCCTCACCCACAGCAGCTGCTGGCTTCTACGCCTGCTCGCAACACATTTCTCTCTCGTTCGCCATCTCCTCCGCCCGCAACGCTCGACTGCACGTCTAGCTTTAAGGTACGTCAGTAGGGCAGCTGCGGACACGTGACTAAATCTCTCTACTCTGTCGGCTCGTTTACCTGCGATGAAGCTTACACGAAACTAAACCCGCATCCCGTGTCTTTCTATTTTGAACAAACATTAACTCGAGTAAACGCTACACCTAGTTTCGCTTCAAACTGTTTCTAAAGCACCCGCGTTGATGCCCGTTTACACCGGGTCAACGCCGTGCGCACCGCTGCTGCTTCGCATCCCATCAGGTATCCTATCAGGAAGATGGTGTGTATTTTTTATTGTGCGGCACGTTATGAGAAATAGCGTTAAATATATGTATAAACGTGGCACGCACAGACACATATTGAGGAGTTACAGATGCTAATATAAACAGTTGTTCACACCTACGCAATGATGCCAAAAGAAACATGCGTATTAGCAACACCCGAAGGCACAAGATGAAAGCAAGCGCTGGTGCTCGCGAAGATGGTAGCCCTGTACACTGTGACATAAATCAACTTCAGCGCATGGCACTTAACTAAAACTGATGTTAACCGGATGTCACGGCTACATCATAGGAGTACTTTTGCGATTCTTAAAGAAAACTGAACAGCCGTCACTGCAACCACAATTGACATTTCAAGAACAGTAGGGTCTATTTGAAAAGTTACTCCAAAACTTGGTTTGGCTCTGTGGTAAAGTGCTTGATAGCCACGATTTCTGCTGGAAACCTAACATTTATTATTGCACTATATGGATAAACCCTGCTGATGTCAGTTTTCATTAATGCTCATGCGTTAGATTTGTCTGAGTGTGCTCTCGTGGTTCTGGGTTAGATACGTAGATACTAAGTGTCAATCACGCGTGTGACACAGGCCCACATACCCGTGGCACATAGCCGCCCTCTGCTACGTGCCACTGCTTGAGGGGAAGTGTTCGACGACGTACGCGACGAGGTTTTGACATTATTCATTTTATGACCTGCGCCTCATAACCTTCAGACATTTAACCTCCCGTACAAATTTTTGTTCACGCCTAGTTCAGAGGCTAATCGCGGAAGCAACCAGAATGTAAGCGGCTAGATAGATGGATGTATACGCAAACAGAAGGCAAAAGCGCTTGAAGTGCTCAGAAGAATGCTTCGCACTTAAAATTTTGAGATGATATAGTGGCATATGCAGTTAGTAAAGTAGTGTACTAAATATCATGCTCGAGATCTGCATGACCAGCTTTTCGTTGTTATAGGGGAATTGAGACAGAATCAATTCCAGCACATGAAATTGTGTCATTGGGTCATAACCTATTCTAGCGAAATCCTATTTTATCCTAGTAAAATAAAGTAATGATACTCACTTAGAGATGTCGGGAATGTGGTATCGGTTGATAACTAGTGTTACTGGAGCGGGGACAGCCGCAGAGAGAAGAAGAGGGTGCAGTGGTTCTCTCTTAAGTTCAACAGAGGCTTCCTAAGAAGGATGAAAACATACCAGACTTACCACAGAAAAGTGATGTAGTCAGCCCTTTTAGAGCAAAGCAAATCATTACATGTTTGGCATCAACAAAATGGACAGCTGGTAGATTTAATTTGCCAGTATGTTAAGTAAAGAATGAGGATATACCAGCACGAAGACACACGGACAAAAACGAGGACCCCAGACTAACCATGTGTCCTGGCGCTGCTAGTAAACCGGCATGAATTTCCAACAAGCCCAAGCCACCACTATGGAGAAAAATTGCTCATTTATTTATAAATTATTTTTTCAATGACATATTCAATCAATACACATTACATGGTTGATTAGAAAATTTAGCAAGGCTGACTAGTGCAAAACTAATATAGAAAGTTATAGGGAAAAATACGCACCAGTATTGTGCAGTTGAGAATTTCTTATGCTATTGTCTGCGGCTCAGACACAGTAATCACTGCGTGTGTTTGTCAGAAAGCCTCGATACCGGCTTGGACAACTCCTCCGAAACAAAAACATCATTCCGGAGCTTCAATAACACTTTTTTTGTTCCACGTGGGAATCAATTCAGCGATTCTCCGGCTCTTCTGTCACTTTTACTGAGAGACGTGAGTCACGAAAACTTATTGTTTTACACCTAGACTGTTGTAACGAACATCGCGGTAAAAGAAACAAAGTCTAGATCATTTGCTGATATATGGGCAATAGAAGCAGCAACGCAATTTTTAAACATCCTGAATGCAAACTGGGATCCACAAAATTAGCAATTCACTTTGTCCTGTGCATCTTTCTGTCGCAACTCATTGCAATATGAAATTATTTTCCCGATAGGTTGAACATTTTGGTCACATTGGTAATACCCTGCTACACTTTTGCATTGACCCTGAAGTATCACTATTGTTGCAGTAGTGATCGGAAGTAATACCACAATTTCTGAAATAATTTTCAATATCTGAGTTTACATGATATGCCTGTTGAGAACGTGACAAGATCAATGAAGCTGTTTCAAATGGAGGTTCATGAGTCTGGTTGCTCATAGCACATGCACCAGTTAGGGACCTTGTCTAGTCTCCTTAGAGAATAATCCTAAAATACTTTTGTTCTGCAATGCAGTTAGAGCAACTGCGACCAAAGCCATCGCATCTGCCTTCTTGTACCTCATTACAAGGGTCTATTTTTGATAAATGCCCAATGCCTATGGCGGTTTGCTTTATTTGAACAATCCAACTTTAAAAGGACACTCGGATCGTCGCGTATTATGCTTATGGCTCATCTGAATGCATGTAAAAATAGGAAGCTAGACCCGGAGTGCAGTTACAGTGCATCGTCACGTGGCAATCAAATTTGTTTCAATGTGAGCCTTTTGAAATAATGACCAAGTGTGTAGGTAAATACTTGAGATTATGATGTTAGCACTACTGACTTCTTTTTTTTCGCTTGACTGCAGTGACACCGGTTACGTTTACGACACCGAGGAACCTACATTTACGCAATAATACTTATCAAGCAATAGTAACGTTGCATAAATATAATTACCCAAAGACACTGATCTCAGGCATATATACAAAGATTTGCGTGCACTGAGGCAGAGTTGATATTATTGCGAAAGTTGTATAATGCTAGCAGGAACGAAAAGCCGTCCAGCAGCGTTGTCACGAGTTACCCAGTGGCTGGGTTATCATTTACGTCTTTCGAAGCATTGTACCTAAGCACAGGCGCCGCTGGCTACGTTATGAAAGACTTCGCCTATTCTGTCGCAGTCGTGGCACCGAGCATGCACGTGGCAGTTTCTCCAGAAATTTTCCATGTGGGTATGCCACGTACAACTCTATAAGAGCACGTACAGTGCAAACGTGAAAGAGCTCGTGTTCGCCGGGCCGATTGTGCAGTGCGGGCACAAAAGCAAGCCTGGGAGGCTGAGTGCCGGCAGTAACTGCGTATTGACCATAGGGCAGCCTTCCAAGCCGCGCTAATTGCGAACGGGAATGCAAGCACCACCGGTGGACTGATCCTGAAAACTACACCACTGAGTTGAATCACGAACGGGAACGCTAGTCCCGGTGGCAGACGTATCCTGCAAACCACACCTCCAAGTTAATTCGCAATGTCAAACGCTTGCGGGCACAACAGCGTCAACGTGAGTATTGCGAGAGCGCATTCGCTGGGGCGTGAGCTTTGACAGCAACATTTTGGCTTCACCTGCGACGTCTGTGACCACCTGCGGTTCGACAATAGTCACAGTGATTAATGTATTGCGAAACGCATTTAACAACTCGTTTTATTCTTCCATGACCGCGATCAGGTGAGACGCATTGGGCGGAATTCGAAATAAAGAGTGGGGTAAACACAAGCCAAACGTGTGTCTTACCTCATAAAGAAGCACAAACATATAGTCCATAAATCTGAAAGTCTTCTGTGCAGCGTCGGGTTGGAGCCACTGCTAAACACTAGGGCCACACATTTCAAATTTTCTAGTTAACCACTTGTGCGGAGTACTTGGGTGGTAAATTTTTAGGGGCATAGCACTTTATGCCGTGGGTCGTGCGTCCACGCTGTAGTTAGTAGTAGTAGTAGTATTAGTATTAGTAGTAGTATTAGTAGTATTAGTAGTAGTAGTGGTAGTAGTAGTAGTAGTAGTAGTAGTAGCAGGATCAATAGTACGTAGCCACTTTTTGTTCAGTTTGGAAGGTGCGCTGGATGGTGGTACTTGTATATGATGATTATGTGATGAAAAGATGCGCGATGACGGTACTTGGATTGTGCAATAGATGGACGTACAGAGGGAAGGAGGGACAGAGAGACAGACATACAGCCAAAAGCACGGACACACAGTTGCACGCACGTTTGGCCAAATGGCCAGATGGACAGATAGACAGACGCACTGACGAACGTAAAGACAGACAGACAGAAGCACGAACGCACTAACAGACAGGCAGGCATACAGACAGATGCACGCACGGACAGATGCGTGCACAGAAGCAGGGATGGTCGCACGGAAGGACGTGCGCACGCACGTACTGATGGGCGTTTCACCCCACTAATCATCATTCACTCTGTGGATATTAAGTGGTTTTTGTGTGATGTTTCTCTTCATACAATACTCTACCGTAGGGCAAGAAGGCCACCACTTTAACCTCCGCTTATGAGAGAATGTGCAAAAACATAAGTGAATTGATGGTGCCCATCTTTCTGCGCACCGCAAAAGATGCTTATCACAGCCGACATTTCACGATGCAAAAATTCTTGTGAGTGGCCCGTCTGTTAGTTCTGGGAGGCGTAACAAACCAATCTGTTTGTTTCGAATGACGTATTGTATAACTTGAAGGGAAAACTGAATTTGATAATGAAGCGTCCACGTCTATTCATAAGGATGGTATACGCATTTTCCACACAATATGTTTATATACTGCTAAGTGATTTTATCTTCATGCGGTTGGTAACTTTGCGTATAACTAAGCCAAGCTATGCTTCTTCAATGCAAACAAATGCAACAAGTCAGGCTTTATTCGCTCTTTTCTTCTCGTGTTCCAAAGGTTCGTGCTTTTTATCGGCACATTATTGATGCGGCCACGTCATGTCATTTCTCGTTTTATACCGCTACCGATGAATTTTATTAAAGTGGCCAGTTCACTCCGAGTTCAAGTGAACTTCATTGTACTTCGCCTTTCTTACCAGCGTAAAACTTGCTTGGCGGTACATTTCAATAACTGTATCAAAAAACGTTACGTTTAAAACATGCACTATATTTTTAATACTACTGTCGCACACACTCCGTCATTCGCACGCATAGCACTACCACATTTCTGATACTATTTCAGTTGATTTATTCGTTGTATACGCCAAAATGCGCTTCATATGTGGCTAATTCATGTACATAAATTCGCTGCGGTGCGTTGTAGTAATGCACAGAATACCGCTGTTGCTTAACCGCGTAAGGAGTGTCAATTTTTTATGTTTTGTATATTTCTGTAGTTGAATTGCAAGGCTAGAAATGAAAAAAGTATTGCGTAAACTATCTCATACCTCGAGAAGACTGACGAAATTTGCTGCATCAGACACTTCAGGAAACTCCCAATCCAAGTCAAGTCCATCAATGTTATTTGTGCGCAGTGCCCACGCAGTCGAGTTGATGAACCTGTATACGGAAACGAGGGAGGCATACTTGTGGTGTGTTATCACAACCATAAGATGTGAATTTACACGTCGAAAAACTATCATATGATGATGAGAGACCCCGTAGCAGACGGCTCTGGAAATTCAGATCACCTGGTGTTCTTTCACGTGCACCCAAATCTCAGCACACGGGCCCACACAAGTTTTGCCTTTATTGAAAAGGCAGCCACTACCACTGGGATTCAATCCCACGAACTGCGGGTCAGCAGCCTTGTACCTTAGCCACCAGACGACCGCCCTGGTACAAGTACTCTGCTCTTGACGTCTAGGTCACACACGTTGTACAGTCACCCGATCGAGTGCTTTCATGTAAAATCCTTGCTGTTCAGTGTTGACTTTTCCCAATGATTTCACGTGTGCTGCAGGCGATGGTTAAAACCAGGAAAACCACCTGGTAACTTTCTGCCCGGACTGTACATGCAGTAAGTAATACATGCTCAGTCTCCTTATCACTCGCTTGCTTGCTGCAGCAAGCAGCCTGATACGTGAAGTTCGAGATAACATCTGCAAAGCCTGCGTGACCAAATGTAACAAGAGTCTGCCCGTGTGCACGTTACGATGCTGTTTGTCAGCGCTTATCATTTGCTCTTAGCTTGGAGAACAAATGACCACCGCAATTTTGAAATGTTTAACCCGACCAGGTATTGGTATTAGTGTACAAATCACAACAGCTCACCAGTAAAAGTCTGAACTTTTATTGTACAAAATATGGAATACCAAAGTTCTTCACTCTTGTAGAGGATAATTGCAATAACTTCTTTCGATATTACGTCCCAACAATTTTGAAGTACTGAGAGCGCGCTACGTTTTGAAAAGTGTCGTATATTACAACTGTTTTATGGGACGTTGTCACAGTCACATCCTGGTTTAGCGAGATAATACTTAAAATTAATAATATTATTACTGTTATATACTCAAACATACTACCAACGACTGAATGCCACATGCTAGAGGGTCGCATGTTGAGACAGGATGATATTGAGCTGAACCGCTGTGTAATTCACGAAAATTTCTTTTCTAATGCATTTTTTCTATTAGTCAGCAAGCGTTCCTATTGATGTGCCCCGCATAGTGAATATCCTAATTGTTTTCTAGAAAGGTTTTTTCACTAGACAATTCCCTCATTGTGGACCCTGCTTAGATGCTCTGTTTGTTTCACAACATGCCATTAGACTTCTTGAACATTGGTGAACTGAAACAAAACAGTTTGGGTAGAAACGTAAGTAGTCTACGTTAATACCTTAAAAGACAACATCAAATCTTAGTAGCCGAGAGAACGTAGCGCGTACGCATGACTTATGCACGACGCAACTCTTTCCGACAAAAAAAAGCAAAGAGTACCCTAAAAAATTGCTGTGCTGTTAACATGTTCAGAGTTCAAACACTGGAAAAACTTCAGCGTATCTCAAATAAAGCGCCTAGCTAAATCTAGTGGGGTCTTTTTTTTTAATTAGTGACCTCTTTGAAGGGTTCGTGTCCTTCTGTGACACCGCCATGCTGTTTAGATAGCAAGGTTCGCTCAGTCGTGTTGGTGTCCGACACTGTATTCCCCAAGCTGTCTGTTTTCTGAACTACGACATAACGGGAATAGGACTTATGACGAGAGATTTTCATTGAGCTGTCTCTTCGGCCGGCTGACATCAATTATGGAACACTGCCACTGCACTGGGCACCTATATAATATTTAAATAAACAAAAACAACCTGCATAAAAGGTCCTCATACAGTATGAAGTCATATAATGCGAAAATTACTGCAATGAACTAAAGTGTGTTCATTTTTTGCAACTATATTAGACTTTTCTTTCTTTATGGGCTAGAAACTTTTTAGCCAACTATAGGCACGCGCGATGGCGAGTGACCGCACTGTCGGATCCCTAAAGAAAAGCTGTGGGTCCCACAGATTTTGAAAATTAATTTTCAAGTCGTGCAATGAGTATGTGTCATTCTCAAGCATCAACAACAGCGCAATTTTAAACAACACACCTGAATTAAAATTTATCTAAATTGTGCAAAGATGTATATTGAATGTAAATATTATATTGCGGCAACAAAAAAAACCTATGTGGCGTATATGACCACAGCATAGACCGCGCGATTCACAGTCGTACACATCGCTCAATTATTACAGCTTCTGCAATTTAAAACTAAGCATTTTTAGGCTCGTATCACTTTTTAAGTGTGAATACACTTTATAAGAGACCCCAAACCATCCACCGCCGTCGGCGGCTTCCGCAGTCTTCTCTCTATCTTTAAAAGAAAGAGGACTTGGCGGGCCGCAGCGCAACGCTCCACCGAATAAGCCATGGACGCGACGCTGATATCGGTGTCAGTAACGCGCCTAATACCTCCTCCCCCTTCGCTCACTCTTCCGCTCTCCTCGCTCGCTGCAGCTGCGCGCGCACCCCTCTCTCTCTCGCGCGCCCGCCTTCTCTCTCAGTCTCCCGTCGAGAGCAAGTCGTGAGGGGGAGTAAAGTTAAAATCCGTTGGCATTCGCCAGTGAGTTAACGTAAACTCCCCCGTGTGATCAAATTGCGATTCCCAGGAACCATTACACCATAAAGGCACCATAGTGTGATTAATAAATATAATAGTGCGAATTAATAAATACCCCTCATAGCATCACCCCGTGTATTCGCACTTAACCATGTTCACCCTCGGGGAAATGCTTGGGAGTTTTTTCTTGTTGTATTGACAATTTGTCACGGCGAGATTGTTCAAATAAAATGAAATGACACCATATACATTGTGGACTTGAATCCCACAAAACGTGGCCGTGTACAGTGCTACTCAATATGTGTTCATCCGCAGAGCTTCTCGCACTCGTTATTAGAGAGTTTTAGTATGCGTACGCTGCGTACGTGGCGGCGTTGCATACGCAAGGATGCCACGTTCTGCGTAGTGCGCATGCGCAGACCGCAACGCGCACGCATCGCGTTACGTACGCAGACGCTACGTACGCATGCATGAGATGCGTGCGTGTGTACGTATGAGGTGATCGCGCCGCTCTCGAACAAGTTCGCGACAGCGCGAGACTTTTTTTTGCAAAATGGTGGCATCGAAGGCAAGCACCGACCGGCTCTGTGGCTCAAAATATGGCCATAATCTGGCTACAACACTTGCATTGGCTCACATTGGCTTCCAACAACACGTACTTCTATTTTGATCCACCAGATCACGCAACACGCTTCACGCTCGTTACGTACGCGGGTACTACGGCGTACTAAATGCCGACTAGTGGCAAAGGACGCCACGTAACGCAACGCGCTTGCGTGAAGCGTACGTAGCACCATTCCGCAGTACTAAAACTTTCTATTATCTCAGCGCGTGTGCGCACGCGAGTACACAGCAGCCCCGTAAAAAAAAATTAGCAGCACCTGTGAAAGTGGGTGCCTTCAGGCCGGGAAATCGCACGTGGTCACCGTCCGCTCTGTGACCCGTGAGTCTGAAATTTCCATTCTGAAGCTTCTAGAGCAGTGTATTCGCCTCTACTTTATTCTAATTTTAAGAATAACTACCAAACATTCGCCGACAATACTTAGCAGGAGAACCTGAACAAACTTCATATCGCAAAAAGGATGATTTCTGTCAGCATGAGACAACACGATGCTATAGATGAATTTTTCCAATCATTCATTGCTATCTGGGCTGTGGTGAGGAGCAAGCGCGAGTTCAGTGTGAATCGGGTGGTCGCACACGCATGGGTGCTGTCATATTTATTTTTGAATATAGATACTCGTGATACGATGTAAGTACGAACTATAAAAAAAGCATCAGACATAACACAGGGGGGTAAACATGCCAAAAAAATGCATATGTTAACTTTAAGGCCTGCATATATAGAACATTTTGTTGCCCAGCATTTGACTAATGTAAATCCTACTGGAACTAGCTTGTGCGGTACGGCCATGGTTGCTTGCTGACCAAAGGCACTAACGAGCACTTGATGAAACATGGCTTCTCTCATATGCCACATTAGAAAGTCATCTATTATCTTCAGCCACTGAGCAACACTTTGTTTCCAAACTTTGCTGCTTGCTAATTGAGCACATTTCTCATTTTGTGCATTAGAAAATAAAAGCATCCGTCAAACTTTAAACAGGTTTACCTCTGGCGGTTGGACTCAGTAGATGTCATTTCTTTAAAATTTTTGTCACCTCCTCCGCCTCCAACTGATACCATGAGTTTCAACGAGGGCCTTTTCTTGCGCAACTCAGCAAAGAAGGTGAGTGCCTCGTAGCCACCGATAGGGTTGAGGTCGACACTGTAGTCATTTCCCACGGTAGCAAAGCCCATAATGATGTGGCTACACAGATCCACATCCACCTTTGCGAAAGGTAATGCATCTGGTGACTTCATCGGAGACTCCATATAGCAAACGTGGCTGAAGGAGTCTGCGAAGGAACCAAAATCCAATCTGGAAATCTCGGCATTTAACGAATAAGATCACGTTTCCCATTGAGCCACTACAACCACATCTACATGTACCATTTTCCTTTACCTCATAACAGGAATTCCACCCTCCAATCTCAATAAAAGTTTTTGTTATACAACAAAACGAAAATCTCCCAGGGTCCCTTAAGCACTCGCCTGCAACGACGGGAAGTATAAAACCTTTCTTTTTTTCTACATCGAAATGTAGATCCTTTAACGGTCAACTGTGAACCATTTATGTCCTAACATAATTACGCACTGCATGAAAGATAAAAGGCATTCCATGGTGAAGAAAGTAGTAGTTGATGTTGCATGGGCGTCAATGCCACCGCAGTGCACACATATGTACCTAAAACCATGTTTCACTTCTGACCTCCTCCCTAAAAAGCTACGTGTCATCACTGTGTTCAGCTTGCTCAGGTGGTTTTTTAACACGACGCACCCACCTCGCCGGAGTGATAATCCCTTCAGGTCGAAGTGAGTGACTATAGTTCTGAATACCTTGTATACCTCGCAGCCAGTCATTGTGAGCTTTCATTAACATCATGAATAGCAGTCTACTTCATCTCAGGTAGTCGAAGCTGAACCTCACTAGGAAACAGCTTGCAGTTCGAAGCCTTCTGGATATGCTCGGGGAACGTTCATATCCATCCAGAGAGGCTGTTGCCTTCCTGAACTTGAGCTCTGAACTTCATTTACTACGAAAAATTGTTGAGAGTTCCTCAGTCAAAAAGTTGTCAAGGACACTTTGAAGAAATTTGGGGATCTTATAGCAAGCAGCGGATAAATAAAATAATCCTAGAAGAAAGAGTAATATCATTTATTAACTTAACCAGTACTATAGCTTTAGTACAAAAAGGAGCAACTATACTAAGATACATCAAAATACACAAGTACAGCAAGGTCACATTACATGAAGATTCAATTGCTTCATGGTGCAATAAATGGCTCATGCCCCTATACATGAATAAGTGCAAATCATTATCATTTACCCGTAAGCGTGCCGTACTTGCCAATGGAATGGAATGAAAAAACTTTATTTCGGTCCTGCAGGACGCGCTTAGCGCGTAGCGGGCGTCTCCCACGTAGGGACCGACAGGGAGTACCTGGCGGCCCCTTCGTGGGCCTGCTGGATGGCCCATTGCTGGTCGGCGAGAAGTGAGCTTCTGAGGGACCTCTCCCACTTGCTTGAGGTAGAGTCGGGAGGAGTTGTTCTACACTCCCAGAGCATGTGTTCGAGTGTCGCTGTGTGTCCACATAATGGGCATGTGTCACTGGGGTATGCATCGGGATTATAAACGTGAAGCGTGGCAAGGTTTGGGTACGAGTGTGTCTGTAATAGGCGTAGAGTTAATGCCTGCGGTCGGTTAAGTTTCGGATGTGGGGGTGGAAAAATGCGGCGTTCCAAGTAAAAGTGATTTGTAATTTCATTGTACGTAATTGGTGCATCCTGATTGGTATCCAACCCAGCAAGATGAGATTGCCCTGTGGCAGTGCGGTCGATAAGTGCGCGCGCTGCATCATGGGCGATCTCGTTGAGGTTGGATAGGGCACCCGGCACCTGGCCGAGATGGGCGGGGAACCAGATGACAGTGTGGTGCTTCAGGGCACTTGGGTCCACATTGCGCAGGATGCGTAACGCCTGGTCGGACCGTACTTGCCAACATATATTCTATTAACGCCGTGCCCATAGCTTCCGTATCATGCTACATATATCTTGGCGTCCGCTTGACTTCATCGCTATCCTGGACCACACACATCAATTCCATCTGCTCTACAGCATCCCGTACACTCGGCTACCTTCGACGCAACCTGACTTGCGCATCGCCCGACGTAAAAAAAACTAGCTTTCATCACCTTCGTACGACCTAAACTTGAATATGCTTCAGCAATCTGGCATCCTTCACAAGCCTACCTAACAACTAAATTAGAGTCCATTCAAAATCGCGCAGCTCGCTTCATATCTTCACAATACTCACACAAAACCAGCGTTACCGAGCTAAAACACTCTCTTTTCCTTCCAACTCTTGAATCCCGCCGCTTGATCACCCGTCTATGCCTTCTACACAGCTTCTACTATCATCCACGCTCAAGACATCAGTTGCTCCAATCCGCTCACAGAACTTCATCGCGCATAAATCACAGCAGGCCCATTGCAAGCATAAATGGCCGGACGACAGCATTCATCACCTCATTTTTTCCTAATGCAATAGCCCTCTGGAGTGCCTTACCGGATGACTCCGCTTCATGCGCCGACAGGGAAACTTTCCGCGCAAAACTGAACGAACATTTTTTCAAGCCTCTCTCCTGATAATCTCAACTACTTCGTGTTTATCGCCAATTGTTTTAGAATTGTACTCAGTTTTGCTCTGCAATTGTTTAACATATGTAAAGCATTGTGTATTCTTTTTATCTTCTTCTAGTTCATTCATGTGATTCCTGTCTCCTGTGTAAACTTTTTTTTCCCTGTTGAACATTGTACCCTATCTTGTTACTTGTCCCCCCTTATGTAATGCCTTCGGGCTTTTAAGGGCGAAATAAATGAAATGAAATGAAAAATGAAAAAGATAAAAATAAAAGCAGAATGAGACCTTATAAGAATCACATGTTCATAAAATTCAAATATACATTCCTCCGCTTACCCTAAATAAAGAACAATGAAATAATAATAACTAAGTGCCTTACATGAGCCTAGGTTGTTATGGCTCTGCACTTCTGCACAAGAACGTCGTTTAGTCATTGTATAGGGAGTGGGAAACAGAAATGCTTTGGGGACACAAGTGATGTATTAGGGGTGGTCAGGATCTGGTCACCGTTTCGTAATTTGTCCACGTTTACAGTATTGCAATCGGCTACCCCATTTTACCTAGGAGACAAAATATGTCGTAAAAAATAATAATGCACAAAAAACAGTCAAGAACAATGAGTGCAGAGGCGTTATTATCTGCACCACATTGAAGTAAAAATACGTAATAAATATTGCAAGCGAGCATATTAGCTATCCTATCTTTTCTTCTCCCTACTTTTTTCCTTTACATCTCGTTCTCCATCAAGGGTAACCAAACTTTAGGCCACTTGGTAATCCCCCAGCTTTCCTTTGCCTCTTTCTCTGCACTTTGCATGGTTTTGCACAGCTTTCATAATCGGCGTACCTCACACCAAGCGATGGTGTGAACCCACAAAGCTATCACGCGATGTCGCCTGATCATGGAGTCATGTTAAGCGACACGTCAATGATGTCATCACGTGAATATGATGGATAGTGTCTCTCGCGTTGACACTGCTGGCGCTTCATTTTAGAATTTGACAACGCATCTCAGAATTCGTCCTAATATATTGGTCATTATATATAGCACCACATACACACGCGTGCTTTTGACGTTGTTCTATCTTACGTTTCTATTGCGCGTTGTGGAAAAAAATTTAGGAGACCTTGCTTTATCGAGAGGAGAGTAACAACGAAAGATTGGCGCATGCGTGCTTGATGTATGTTTTACTTTCTTTTTTGTTGATGCAAATGAGCTCGGTTGTCTCTAAATCTTTCTTGTCCAATCAATTCTCGTTGCGTATGTCACTTCCCATTCCTGAAAGCCCAATCTTCGCTACTGAAGGCCACTATTTTTACTTAAGTATGGAACCAGAACACAAGCCCACTAAGTTCGACGTAATTGAAAATTGATTCGATCTAACAGGCAATCATGCCGAGGAAACTATAGGGGATGTTATGAGGGGTATTTTAATGGTAATTGAAAAAAGTAAAGTGCACGAAAAGATACCTTGCCATGAAGCAGGGACTAATCCAGCGACCTTCTAATAACGCGGCTAATGTTCTACCGACTGAGCTACTATGGCAGCTATGCCGCCTTCATTCTCTTTAGTGTGTGTATATGTGAGATAAACGTGGGAGCGTCAGCGAGTGCTACCTGCTCTCATGGAGGCAAGTGAGGAGCACTCTTGGCTGCTTGGCGTAACGTAATTCGTGACGCTATTACGAGATGGCAGCTGACCAAAAATCATTCACCCACCTTCTTAAGGCTTGAAGTCCCCCACAACAACGCCCTCGCTAAGAATGAAAGAAAGAAGTGTAGAAATAAGGCCTTGTTTCCTTTGTAAGACACAATAATAACCAGACCTTACAGACAATTATGCCAAGTGTAGTAGAAATACACCTAGAGAAAAGAGAAAAAGAATAGCAAGAGGTTTAACAGATGCCGGTATCTGGTATGCTACCCTTCACTGGGACTGGGAAACAGGGAGTTGAAAGAGAGAGAGAAAGTAAAAAAAAATGGGCAGATTCTACGTACAGTGGAAATCGAGATATGCGAAGCACAAATGAGGAAGGTTTATATTGCCACGTTCCATTTCCCAAGTTTTTGTTATCGTCCCAAAACACCACACGATTCTCAGCGCAAACCGCGCCTGCAGTTTTCTAGAGGGTTCCGGACTGTAGTAGATCATTTCGATAAGATCACGCCCACTGTGCGAATAGTACAGATTGTTCTGGAACGCACGCCGCCGCCAGCGATAGCACTAGAACATTCGACGGCGGGAGTATAAATGCCGACGCGCTTCGCCGCTTGTCAGTTGTTGATCGAAGGCCGACGCTCCGTTCGCCGCTATCAGTTTGAGACTGCTATCTGTGCGAGACTGCTGCTGTAATTGGACTTTCTGTTTACCGGGCACAGGTTCGCCCAAATAAACAGTTAAATTCCAACAAGAAGTCTCCTGTCTTCGGCCACGTCACGACCCCGTGACAATATGCATATCAGTTTAAAATCAGCACGACGTTACGAGACGGAGATAAAATATGCTTTACATGACTTCCATGTTAGAAATATCATGTTTGGATGTGTAATAAACCTTCATCCTCTATTTGCGCTGCCTGATAATAAATTTGGTATATAAGGAGCTAGCGAAACGGCCGCGAGCATGCTATGAACGTAGCATGTAGTCCA